GAGTCCATTACTAAGCCGCTTCCTCGATTTTCAGCATTAACCTATTTCAGTATCAGCAATAGCTTTTCCTTGACACTAATGAATCTGATGACAAACGATTCCAGTTAGTCGCTTTGTATTGGCGGAACCTGTGCAGATGGATGCGCGGAAATGACACGCTGCACTGCGTTTCCGGGCTAAATGGGCTTCTTTCCTTTGCCAGTCAAAGACACGCATTTTGTGCGATGCAAAATGACTCTGGAGGTGCCTCTTAAGCACAAATGTTCTTGCCAATACGTCAGTGATCCCATCAGGAGATTTAGCCGAAGCAACAGCCGCAGCCATTTCATAACTTCAATATCATTTAAAGCCATCTGCCCACGTGCTTGTTCCGCTCGCCATTCACGACACCATAAAGAGCTTAATTGTGATCTAAAAATCTGATCAACGATAATAAGACATTCCTATTCCGAGGAGGTGGAAAAATCATGGCCCCGGGTTTCATTCAGCGAAGGCTTTAATTGCTCTTTTACGACTCCCAGGGGCAATTTACATTTTAGACCCAGATTCACTCTTGTATTCATTTTCCGCCCCCATCTGATTCCCCATATGAATTCTTATTTTTACGCGGCGCGGGAGGGCTTTTGTCATTTTTAATTGCAGTAATCTAATTAAATTGGCAGCGATTTTTATTTCAGCCGTGAGTGTTATTGTGCTCGAACAAAGAAAACACTCCTCATTTTACCAGCTCGACTTGACCTGAAATGAAAACATCCCAGTCGGTCCCCAAGCCGGCAGACATGCGTACGTCGGGCGTCCTCAATTACCCCGCTACCGCCGTCCTCAAATAAACGAGGGGCTCTCACGCCGCTGACGGCGCAGCCTGCCCGCGTCGCCAAGGCCAGCGGCGTTCACACTTCACACGCACTGCCGCACTGCTGCCGGCTCAGTCTGTCCACGACACCAGGGCCAGCGGCGTTCACACTTCACACGCACTGCCGCGCTGCCGGCGGCTCAGTCTGCCCGCGACACCAGGACACCAGGGCTCAGTCTGTCCGCGTCACCAAGGCCAGCGGCGTTCACACTTCACACACACTGCCGCACTGCTGGCGGCTCAGTCTGTCCACGTCACCAGGGCCAGCGGCGTTCACACTTCACACGCACTGCCGCACTGCTGACGGCTCAGTCTGTCCGCGTCGCCGGGGCCAGCGGCGTTCACACTTCACACACACTGCCACACTGCTGGCGGCTCGGTCTGCCCGCGACACCAGGGCACCAGGGCTCAGTCTGTCCGCGTCACCAGGGCCAGCGGCTCTCACACTTCACACACACTGCCGTCGCCTCATCACACGCGCACGACACGCAGCGTTGGCCGAAGTCGGTCTGATCGATGCCGGCTGTGCGTGCGGGCTGTTGAGGTGCTGACTGGTGACCCAGGCCACCACGAGCGCATCGGTGGTCACTTCGATCGCGAGCCTCGGCCGGGGGTCGGCGCAAGGCTCTGTGGACGGAGAACGGCCCATTTACTCAGGGGCTCCGACTGCTGCTGGACACGGCTGGTGCGACAGTTGGACATATGGAGTCTAGGAATGCCGTTTGAATTTCATTTTCCGCACGGGAAGGCTTTGCCAATATTTGGTGAATTACCTTGTCTCTTATTAGCAAAGGTTTTCTCGGGCAGGAGATCAAGAGTCAAGAAGCATGTTATAACGAGATCTACGTCTCGTTAGATGTAGATCCACGAGATCTACATCTCTTTATAGGTCTATTTCTCTCGTCATAGCACGCAAGGATGCTTTAACGAGATCTGCATTGGAACGTGGCGGCCACGTCGCTTTTATTAAACACTTGTCATCGTCAGAGCTACAGCACTCTTCTAATGAACTTCACAAAAGCTAGCTTCACGAGTAAAGCATTTCTCAACGTCAAACGGCTCCATCTGCCGCTATCAGCTCCAGTCAAACTTGTCCAATGCAAAATAGGCAAACTTCGTATCTTCGTCTTATCGCCCCCGCTCGCACATCGCAATAAACTTTAATCCAGTTTGGCACCGTTTACGAAGCCATCGTTCAATCTGCATTTGCATTCATCGAAAGACTGTCATTCCAAATTTTGAATAACACCGTAAACTGTTTAAAAACGTCGGCCTGTTTTACATACTGGCGTCATTTGAATATAGAGATGGTGGCGGGATTACGTACGCCTCTGAACGTCTAATCCTGTATAATGGAGAGATCGACGGCGGCGTGCGCCGCCGCCACCGCCGCCTGCCAATATTTGCATTTTTATTAAAGCCTTTCCACCTTCGAATCAAATATGGTCCATGTGTAATGATGAGTGATGATTTTTCCGACTCATGCTAATTATTAGCGGTAACTGTGGCGCGTGCCGCGCCTGGCAAGCGTCCCGGCCCCGTCCGCAGTCCGTAGTCCGCAGTCCGGAGGGCGTTCCGGCTGTCTGCAGTGCGTGCGCGGTCCTTCGCAGTCCGGCCCAGCAGCCTGCCGACGGCGGCTCCGGCCCGCAGCGCGTGACCCCCCCCCCCCTCGTCCGTTTGACGCCTGGGGGGAGGGGATCGTGGTGTCTGGAAGGTCAGATGGTCCTGCACATCCCCGCCTCGCACCGCGAGGGAGACGGCACCGACGTCCGTTCAGGAGAATGCAAGCCTCCTGTTCATGTCTGAGTGGCCGGGGTTCCGCCCGGTAGACTGGCCGGAGCCCGTCTTCAGTGCTGCCAGAGCCTGTACCGCGGCTGATGGCCGGCTCGGCTAGCCGGTGCAGTACTGAGTCTGGCTCAGGTCAACGATCGAATCGCTTGTGCAATCAATGCCCTGTCGCGCTGGTTAAGGCGCTGTCGTGCGAGCACACACACTCGCAATCTCACCCGTCGTCGCAAGGGTCCTTCAGCGAGCCTAATGCGCGTCTTGTGTCCCCACCCATTGTCCTGACACTGACGCTGAGTTGGCGTACAGTGGCCACGATATCCAGCCTAGAAAGCTTGACATCATAAAGGTTTTGCCCTTCACATGCGTGCAAAGTGAAATGAGCCTGTGCGAAATGAACACGCGATCATGGCAGATCCAAGGGAGGAGATTGGAGCTTGTTTGAGCTCGGCTGGTTTATGCGATAGGTGGTGCTGAACTCGGTACTCGGCCCCCGAGAGCTAATTTTAGAATCGTAACTGCTGCGGCACACATACGGTAAATACAATACACATTTAGATTGGTCCAGCCTGTTCGAAATTGAAGTTGAAATACGCATACGTTGTTTTTGACATTTGACCGAAGTGAGCCGCGTGTCGGTATCAATGAGCCCAGCCATTTGAAATTATCCTTTGCTCGCTCCGTCTATCCATCAGTGGTTAGTTAGTGGAATTCTCACTGGACGTAAAATTGGTTTTCATACAGTGCAGGTGCCGGTTTTGTTCAGCTGACAAGCTTTCTCAATAATTTCCGTTTTGCGCCATGAAGATGGGCACCAGAAGACTGATTCTGACAGCAACAAATTGCTTACATCAGGTGATATGAGAGGGAATCTAATGTCTAATGACTGGAGCTAAATTTGGCTTTGTTCTACATATCAGACGCTGAGTGCTTCTCCGTTATCAGAGTATGAAACGCTACCAGTCGCAATTAATGATCGATGCGATCTCCCCGCAGTTCTCCGATAGCAGATCAAAGAATTCCTCTCCGCGTCTCCCAGCGTGATGTAATGAGAAGGTAAACGCATCGTCCAGCCCCCATTCGACGGGCCGCGGCGATTGCTGTGCGTCCGCGCGCCGCAATCGCCGCGGCCGCTAATGAGCGCCGTTTGCGGCGCGGCTCGCTGCCGGTGCACAATGCGGCGCGGCCGGCGCTGCGACCGCCGTATCAATTTGTCGGCGACGCGCTTCTGAGGCACCGCCACATTGTCGGCGCCCATTGTCGGCGGCGGCGGCGGCGGACCCCCTGCCGACAAGTTGTCTTGTAATTCGCCACGCGGGCCGGGGGGCCGCGGCAGCCGGCGACACCGCGCCGCCCGCCGCGCCGCCCGTGCCAACGGCTACTGGGCCGCGTGCGCGGCCTCCACGCGGCTGTGTGCAGAGCCGGCGCGTGCCAGCTCCGAGCAGGGACCAGTAGCGTGCGTCGGGTTTCGCGTTTGGAGCCGGGACGGCTTCAGTGCGCTGCTTTGCTGCCGGTGCATTGTCGGAGCTCCGGGGACACTGCCTCGTGCTGGCTGGAGCGCGGGCTGCGCACCGTCCGGGCCGTTTCGGTCGAACGCATTTGTACGGGCGTGGTGGATAGCAGGGAATGTTGACGAGATTTGCACGAACGGTCCCGTGCAGCATAAAACGAACGACGCCGTACAAATAAGACGACTTCAGGGGGCTGTCCGCTGTCACACCGAGCACGTGCGCACCCGCGAGCTGTTTTACGGCTGCGAAATAGCACTTGGCCCGCACAAGTGGCGAGGAACGTCTTAATCGGCTGCGGCCGGTATCATTTTAATGAGCGGCCGCATAAAACATCGGCCCAGTTAATTGCTTATCAACAAGCGGCGCAGCGTTCTGGGCCGGCCGCGAAGGCCAATAGAACGACTCATCGCTAGCCTGTGCAGGCGACGCCTTTGTTCCGCAGACAGAGGCTGCATTATTTCTCTGAAGACAAATACTGAGCGGCCATTGGTGGAGGCGGCGTCTCTGCCGCGAGCTGACGTTCCCCATATGGTTTATAATAACATGTCTCTGGCGCGTAATTACATGCTGACAACAAAATATGGCGGGAGAAACTATTCGGCCGGATTCACGACGGCTCACTCGCGGCTGCGGGTGTTACCTGCTGCAGACCGTCGGAGTCGTAATGATGACGGCTGCACGGCACTCAAGGATCGGGAACTGCAACGCGCGGCCGTGCCGGCCGATAACACCGACGACTTGAACGCCGTGTCTCTGGCCAAGACGCTAGCTGGGCCGCGGGGCGGGGCGGGGCGCGGCGCGGCGGGGCGGACGGCCGCGCCTGATCAACGCTTTGCTTCGCTGCAGGCTGAAGGACCAGCGAGGCGAGATCGACCGGCAGACGAGCGGTCTCGACGCCCGGCCGCGTGACCTCAGCATGAACAACAGTGAGTGCTCCTCGGGTGGCGGTGGCGTTGGCTGGCGTGTCGCGGCACCGCCGGTGTTTGGGCGTGGCGTAGCACGACAGTACCCCAGCTTGCGCTGCGTGTGCTGCCTGTGAGGACATGTCTGTTGTAACGATTTGTGTTAAAAGTAGATGTCGCCTTATGGTCTTTTTGTGTGCTAAGCACACAATTGAGTCACGGTTCATTAACTACAGGTTACGTGTATGCCTTCAGCCATGTGGATGAAGGGAAAGAGGGCTAGGAGTTCGTGTCCAGCCCCTCTGTGCCCGACCGGGCCTGGGCTTCCCTGCCTGACCCTTCTCCTCCTGAGAGGTGGCACAGGGGCCACTGCGTTCCCGTTCCCGTGACCCCGAGCCCCCGAGCGGTGACCTCGGGCCGTGCGTGACCGTGACCCGGCCGGTGGCAGGTTCGCCGAACGGTCACAGTCCGGTGCTGAACCTGTCCAAGTCCGCCGACGGCACCAACTCGGACGGCCAGGCCTCCAACCGCGACGAGGACGACGAGGACGACGACGAGCGACTCAGCGAGCCCAACGACCCCGACGACAAGGAGCCCGATGGTACGTCGGCTGGCCGCATTCCAGCCCATCCGGGCCCGCCGGCGCGCGGTCGGAGCTGGCGTCGGGCGCTTTCATTGCAGGTCCTGCCGGTGCTAAGGTGGTTCAATGGCCGCACGTACAGGAATATCAAGAGAATCCCACATGCCTAGGGGCTTGTGGGAAGGAGACAGCTAGTTGTATAGTTGTTGAGCTTTAAGAGCGTGTTAGCTGCCTTGGTTCTTTGCGCTCATGGGAGACGGGGAGGGGGGGGGGGGGCGAGAAAAAGGAGGGCTAAGGCAAGAATATGCGATGCCAGCCATAGCAATGATTGATGACGGCTTAAAACATTATCCCTCGCTCCGGAAGCGCGCATATTGTCGTGTGATCCCCAACGTGAACCCACGGTACTTTGATCGCTGCAGTTTGCTGGCTTGTAATTCTCCCGCAACATGAAACTGCAAGCTTGCGTTCTATGCTGCTTAAATTCAAACCCTGCTCGGGTTACGCCTCGGTCCGAACGCATTATCAGTGCAGTCTCATCGACCGTCTCCAAATCATCCCATCAGTCTCAGTCGCCGGTCGCTCGCCCTCATCGCCTCCCTCGTGTACCCTGCAGAGCTGAGCGACACCGAGGTGGGGACGCACGAGGCGCCGCTGTCCGCGCCGCGAGCCGAGTGCTCGCGGGCGCCGGAGGAGCGGCCGCAGCTGCTGCCGGCAGCTGTCAGCTGGCCCGGCCAGCTGGTGGCCGACCCGGCGCTCAGCAGCACCGAGACGCTGCTGCGCAATATCCAGGGCCTGCTGAAGGTGGCCGCTGACAACGCTCGCCAGCAGGAGCGGCAGATCAACTACGAGAAAGGTGGGTCGCCGAGCGCGGCGGCAGATCGGCTACGGGGGGGGGGGGGGGGGGCGGACGCCCACCAGCAGATCAACTGCGGGGGAGGGGGTCATCAGATCATTGCCCTATCACCAGATCATTTAAGAGCAGGGCGTGGGTCGCGCCAGAGAAATGGTGGGGCAAGGAAGTGGGGGAGGAGGTTGGAAAAGGCAGCTGACCAGGAGAACAATGGTGGCTTAGCTCGCCTAGCAACGATTTAGTTCGTAGAAATGTGACTGTGTCTCGCAAGGTATAGATCAGCTAGGAGGAAGGTGGATGGGTCCCGCCCAGCTTTATATCAGCTAGAAGGAGAGAAGGTGGGTCTGTTGAACGATAAATCAAGTAGGAGGAAAGTGGGCGGGCTTCGCAGAGCGGTGATCAACCAAGGGTGCTGCAGGGCTCGTCTGGCGGGTGCTAGATTAACCGCAAGAGCAGAAAGCAACAGAAGGCGCAGCGGCCCCGTAAATATTTATGTTCGTTAGGAGCAGGCGAGCCGCGGCACCAGCCAAGTCGAACAGCCCGCTGACAGTGACGGCCGACCTGGGGATCGCACGGCCGCCCTCAGAGGCCGCCGAGCGGTCGGCGGCCTCGGGCCCCTCAGTCGTCACGCGGCGAGGCCTCTCGGGGCACCAGCTTACCCTCCGTAGGAAAGCCTTTCTTTCTTCTTTTCTTTTTGGCCAAGGTTGTCTGTTGCACCACTCTGAAGCGCGGCTGTAGACAGCCGTTGCGTCTCAGGCGCGATGTGGGAATAGTTTTCAGTTTAGTGCGTGTGCGGAGGGGATGGGGCTGCACCTAAAAGTTCTTGATCACCCTTCAACTTACTCTCAACGCCTTTGCAAATCGGCACCTCAATTTCGCTGAGTTTTATTACCGCCTTGTTTTTGCATGGCTAGATTTTTCGATATGAGGCATCCTCAGGCCATGCTAAGATCTCTTTGACAAAAATTCACCGACGGGCACAGGTGCCACAGTGGTAATCACACGCACCTCTCAGACTGACGGCGAACGTCTGCCTGATCGGAATCCTACGGCCTCCCCCAAGCGCCGCCGTTGTCGGCCACCCAATCGCGCTGCTCCGCTAGTGTTGTGTTGCCGTCCCTGCATAATCACCGGGAAAATGCCAATAAGAGCTTACCATCAAAATGCAAAATGCCCGCTCGCTTATCCGCGGTCGGCCGGCCGCATATTAAGCGCGCCATTGGGAGGTGTTGGCGCGCCGCTGAGACAGACGGCCGGGCCATCGCGGCCAGCACGAGCTGACACCCTCGCGACCCTCTTGCAGCCGAACTCAAGATGGGCGTGCTCAGGGAGAAGGAGACGCGCGAGAGCATGGAGCGCAAGCTGCAGGAGGAGCAGAAGCTCAGAGGTGAGACGTCGACGAGGTGGCCCCTCGGGGCCCGGTGCGGCCCTTCTTTTGGTGCTGGTCTCGTGGTGGTTGGGGCTCTCGCATGCGCTTCTCGTCTACCGTGAACGATGTGACGGCGCTGTTGGCGTGGCTGAAAATATTTGGGTCTCACTGTTGCAGCTGTTCGGGCGTCAGTGACGCAGTTGGCAGCATATCAGGATTGTGATGTTGAGGCTGGGATTGAACACCGCCCACGCCGTACATCTTAGGTTGACTTCGACAGCTCTTCGCTGCTTTTTAATTGACATCACCTGAATAAGCTACCTGGCAGTTGGTGTAGCAGCTGCTGCCGAGATAAGCGGTTCGACTCATCAATGGGCAGGACATACTTCTGATACGCTAGTACAAACGGGTAGGAACGTTTCAAAAATTGACAAACCATATTGCTATTTAAAATCAATTATTTCAATCATCGATATCTATTCATTTATATATATATATATATATATATATATATATATATATATATATATATATATGACATCGGAAGTTGAAGAGGTGTGATGTCAATTTTCACGATCAGAAGGCAACTGCGCCAAGCATCTTACCTTGCCACTTACTCTAAAGACTAAACTTGAAACTTAACTTATTAGGGCTATGCGACATAGCACGCGCGACTGCACCACGGCTCAGTTCAAACACAAAAATACGACAATGGCCGAGTTATGTCGCTTTTACCAGGGAGCGTAAGCGACCATTTGATGCAGATATCTAATTTTCCGAGATGTGGTTCACCCGTCTGTAGTCCGGACTTGCGCTCCCAGCTGAAGCTGTCCGCTGTCGGTCGGCGCAGCTCGCGAACTGGGCGGGACTGGATCGACAGCCGGGCCCCTCGAGCGATCCCAGCTGCGCCGGAGCGGGGTGAGGCGACACCGAGCCAATGTAGCGCAGCCACTGCGCGTTAGCGCCGCTCGCCGGCAGCCCAAGACAATTTGGAGCTGACAAGCCGCCGTCCCCGGCGCCCAGGTGCCCTGTACCGGCAAACAAACAGCTAATATCACCATCTATCATCGCGTGGCGCAACTAAACTATCACAACATAGTAGCTGCTATTCCACTCTTGGGTAATAATTAAATCCACCGTTGTCATAAAGCCCCGACATTAATTTCCTGGACGCCTCACCTTAATTGCGTCTCGACACAGCAATAAATAACGGCTCGCCCATCCGTATTTACATTTCATTTTGGCCACGGCGCGGCTGTTTTAAACGATTTCGTTTGTTTGCCGTACTCTCGAGCTTGTTGCCAGCTAATTGCTCAATGTTTGCCTGCCGTGCACAATTCTCAGCGCTTTCCGTTCGCGTTGTGAACCGCCCACGGGCCGAAAATGGGGCGCTATATTTGCTGGCCATGATAAAATACCCACTAAAACGTCGTTACATGATGTAATTGTATATGTTCGGGGCTCGCGAGCTCTTGCAGCAATTGCAGCTAAATTTGATCGTCCTTGAAACGAGCCGATGATGGAAAGATTAGCTTTACGTTGCATTGCTCATGGTTCTAAAGTATGGCAGTAAGCCATGTTTCATTTACCATCTGTTTCCTCCGCCTCACAAGTTCCGGGATCTAAACTTCCTCCCTATCTGATTAAAAATGATGCGTTTGATTTCCCGCCGAGGCACTCTTATTTACCCGTGCTATGTTTGTGCTGCGTTGGGCTGTCATGAAATATTCCACTATTTACTTTACTTGATATTAATTGCCATTTTTGCACCATTAGGGAATTGCAGCATGCCGTGCACGTAATTTAATTGTAGTGCAATCTACATTTATCATGAACGCTTTTACAATAGATCTGAATAGCGTCACGGAACAGTGACCCCGCTTAACAAATGCCACAAAAATGCCCAAATGAGTCATGACACTGCGCGGAAGTACCGAAAGCTTACCCGCGTGCATTCGCGCAATCATTAGGCACGGGGCAATGTTCACCTCGTTAGAGGGTTTTTTTCAATTGGTGCACCTCATGCGCCGCGTGCAGGCGAAAATGACAAAAACGTAAACACGAGCGCTTTGCGGGGGTATCACACGATGAATAGTCACGCGACCCTTTCAAAGGCGGAAACAGAGTGCAAAGGCTGAAACGAGCGGCCAGCGAGCTCGCCGTAAGGCGGAGGCACGGCAAACAGTTTAAGAGAGCCCTAATCGCGCTGTCTGGCTGGGTGTTGAGTGCTTAATTCAGTCGCCTTTCGGGTGGTAACAAATTAATTATCGGATCGATGTATCGACGCGTTTCCGGCTGCGGCCGCGCGCCAGGGGCCGTGGCGTCGTCGGTCCGGAGTCCGGACCGGCTGCGGCCACGCGCCGGGGGCCGTGGCGTCGTCGGTCCGGCGTCCGGACCGGCTGCGGCCACGCGCCGGGGGGCCGTGGCGTCGTCGGTCCGGAGTCCGGACCGGCTGCGGCCACGCGCCGGGGGGCCGTGGCGTCGTCGGTCCGGAGTCCGGGCCGTCGGCGGGCGCGGCGGCGGCGCGCGCGGCAAGAGGGCCGGACAGGAATAGCGCCCGCTTGAAACAGAGCCGCCTCAATATTTACCACGCGCGCATCAACAATGATCTCTGTCGTCTACGGAAAACTAAGTGCTGCCAGCCGTGTGATAAAGACGCCGCCCGGTCTTTCGGCCGCGATTTCACAAAGGGAAAGTATGGCGTGTTTGTTTTCAAGCGCTTCTGAATGGAAGGAAAATATTTGCAATGGTTAAAGCGAATCCCTGTTTGCAATTTAGCCGGATCGCAGACGTCACATTCTTAGCGTTTATGTAGTCCCTACGCCTAATAAAAACATCTGCTCACCCTCATTCAGGCGGAGCCTGGGAGGCAAAGCACCTCGAAATCCGTCGGCGAATGCGAGCTTGACTCCGAACAAATAAACACCCACACAGCACAGACGTCGGCAACCGTGCGTCTGGGTGTCGAACATGACCGCTCACAACGCGACGATGCCGCCACACTCCCTGCGTCTTGCAGAGGGCGTGCGCGCGCGACCCGTTACCGGCTGGCCGGCTGGGCTCGCCACGGCGTCCATTTCCGCGTCCGTGGGTTTCTCAGCTGCAAATTACCTGGAGCCCGCCATCCGTCGTCTGCGCCGCTGTAGTCATCGCACTGATGACTATCATTCAGCAGTTTGTTTCATTTTAATCTCCATCAATACAGCAATCGATCATATTCAAGTCAAATTTCGCCCGAGTCGATACGGAGTACGCGGCGGGGTGTCGGCAGTCTAATTGGCCCGGCCCGACGATAGAGGTCTCGCGTTTCGCCCGCCCGGCCCCACGGCGGAAGAGGGTCGTGCGAGGGCTCCGGCTCCGGCTCCGGTTCCGGCTCCGGCTCCGGCTCCGGCTCCTGCTCCTGCTCCGGCTCCGGCTCTGGCTACCAGTACAGAACCTTTGAAGGCGGGGGGGGGGAGGGGGGGGGGGGGGGCAGCCAGACTAGGATTGGCCTTCAGATGACAAAAATGCCCTCGCGGTGTTTGCAGAACCACCACTCAAAATGTTTCAGGGTCAAAACGACAGGTATTATTCAAAATGGCCATAGGTTCATCAGCATATGATGGAATGTTCCTCCTGGGTTTCTATTCCAAGGTACTAGGGCCGAGAAGTTTTTTGTTGTAGCACGCAGTCATTGTAAAGCCACATATTTTTAGTCTGCTGTAGGGCATGACGTTGCTACACAGTGTTACACCAAGAACTGTGACATGCTACACTGCATTAGCTAAACAGAACACGAACGGCCATACGATTTTGTTTTCTAAATTCTCACCCAATTTTCAGTTTCCAGAACATAAGGGCTGTAAGCATATCGGCACACAAGACAGACGTGAGAAACTTTCCGACAGGAGAGGTTTAACATGTCGGATGCGATTGACTATTTTGATGTTTCGAACAGATTGATTTCATCAGTTACGAAGAAGATTCATCACGGTGCCAGCCAGACTGCTGGCAGCTACAAACTTTCGGATTTGTGAAATATTCCATTCTCTCTGCCGTCATAATTAAACGGGAGATTAAATAGTTCGAAAAGCGGTCCTGATAAGTATTGAAAGAAATTCCAAATATCTGTCGGTTCCTTTTGTTTTCAGTGAATTTATTAAAACTTAAGACACAATGTGAATGGATGGGAAAAAGACCTCAAATCTAACAGAAAGAAATGTTCATAAATCTTTCCAGCGCCGCGATGATTTACGATGCATTTAATTACCGAATCTATTAGCTTTCTGTATTGATTTTTCCCAGCGCTCAGTCCAGCCCTCTCTTGCCCTTAAGAAACTCGAACCGGGCCGTGGCGGGGAAGTGCATGGTCGACTCAGGCCCGACGTGCCGTGCCCGACGCTCGCCGACGTGCCGTCACGTCGCCCGCGACTGAAGCGCCTGAGATGCCGCCGCCGACGTCCACGCGCTCGGCGGGAGGGCACGGGCCGGTTAGCAGCTGCTCACGCGGCCCCGTCGCCCTCAGAGCGGAGACGAGCCCCTTATGCTCACCGACTGCGCTGAATCTTGAGCACTTGGAGCGGCGCTCCGGTGTCCCCACCAGCGCGGCGTGATTGATGAGGCGGCGGGCGGGGAGTGCGCCACACTTCCGTGACGTGTGCAGCGTTGAATGAGCTGACACTGTGGTGCTGGTAGAGCGTTGAGCGAGTGATTGTCGGCAGTGGATCTCGTGTATTATGGACTCTATTGAGAAAGCCGCGCAGGCCTATCTTTCGATCGTTCAAACTCAAACGGGCGTCCTCTCTTTGTGGCGTTATTGGATCTCTGTCCGATCAAGTCAGCTGTGCGCGGCGAACTGATGAGTGTCTAGCTACCCAGCCTGCGAGAGCATGAGCTGACCAGCCGCCCAGGCTGCAAGAGCATGAGTTGACCAGCCACCTAGGCTGCAAGAGCATGAGTTGACCAGCCGCCCAGGCTGCAAGAGCATGAGCTGATCAGCCGCCCAGGCTGCAAGAGCATGAGTTGACCAAACACGGCGAGACTTACCGACTCGGATGGCTGACAATGGCGGTTGATTGTCATGATCCGCCATATTTGATGCAGTAAAGCGCTATGAAATATGGATGTGTATCTCCCTATCTCAGTGAAGGCCATACGATTCATGATGCTCGCGAGTACTATCAAAACGGCCGGACCGAACAGGTGCAGCGGCTGTAACAGCGCTCAAGCTCCCAAACGAGCTGTTCGTGTACTGGAACTACTCCAAAACAGTGACGAGAACCGAATGTTCCTTTCTCTGATACCACAATATATCATCGCGATGGACTGCATTTTGGCACCGAACGGGCTCCAGGCATGCCCAATGTGACCTTATTCAAGCATTCCGCGTGCGCTATCATTGCTCCACCATCTGAGTGGGCAAGACAATTGGCTTCTCTCGACGCTGCAAAGCCAGCTGAGGGGACATCCAATGCAACCGAGAGGCGTTTTTGCGGGGCGCGAAAGCGAGCTTGCGTCTTTTGCTTTGTCTACTGCCTATCAGTGGTCAAGTCGCTCCCTATTCAGACCTTGCACATGCCTACCATGGTATCTCTAATCTAAACGTAACAAGCATTTAAAGTAAGGCATTCAGCTTTTAATACTTTTTAACTATGATCTAGCATTAATTTGCGTCATGTGCATGAGATGACTTCATTTTGACATTTAGTGCACTGGATACAGCACATGAACAAAAACGTTAACGCCTTAGGTGGATGGAAGACCACGTTGCTCACGAGCTACGTCACAAAATATAATTGGATTGCTCAAGCACAGTCCAAAAACTGCAGTTGTCGGCATGATCGCAATCATTAAAGCATTTCTTTGGTTACTTATAAACATTGAAGAAACCTCCATACCGGAGACATCCTGAGAGAAAACTAGCCATTTTCGGCCACTTTCTTCCTGCTCTGCTTCGTGCTCCCTCTGCATAGCCAGTAATTTGAATGTTTGACACAGTGACTCCATTCATGTACTGCACCCGCTTAGGGGATTAGACCCCATGGAGACATTGTTTCGCATATGAGTTGCTTTGACATGGTTGATCATGAGTGCACGCTTACAAAGCTTCGGCATCCCTGACCCATGTGACACTTTTCCTAACCGCCAGCCGTTCACACTTAACACTAGGAATGCTTCTGCGTCGTTTTGAGTTTGGTGTAGGATCTGTCGTGGACAACCTCGTGCCAGCATCAAGGCAGCGAAACACTGCATATTCTATGTCCTCGCGTAGCGATATTTTCTAGCTTGCTCACACCTGTTTCCGTTGAAAATCTGCCTTTTATGTTATAACGCGGCATAGTTCTGCTCAGCAATAGTTTGGGCGCAAAATGGCCGCGGTTGTCGAATCACCTTCAACCCTCAATAACAAGTGTTGTAAATCTGCTTTCTAAGGTTACAGTTCCTACTCGTTTTTAAATCTCAAGTCGAAACACCTTGTTTGGTAGACGTATCCCCTTTAAAGCAGGATTTCCGACCTTAACGTCTCACAGCCAACTCTGGCGCCACTGCGCCACCGCCACGTGTCAGGACTGCGAGGCTCGCGGTGTATATAGCACGGCTGCGCCATTTTCAGTGATGTACCAGCGTCGCCTGAAGAAGGAGCGGCGCTTCCGGCGCAAACTGCAGGAGCAGCTGGGCCACGAGGCCAAGCGGCGTGGCCAGTACGAGGACGCAATCAGGAGCGCCCCGACCGACGCCTTCCTTGGCATGCAAGGTACGTCACTGATCTACCGTCACGACATCTGGTGACATCACTGGTGCGCAACGCTGCCGCTCAGGCGTAGTAGAAGGATGGGACCGTGTTATTGTGTGTTTGTGGACTCATATTCGGGGCATTATTCGTAGCTCATTGCTTGTTTTTACGCTTATATTGCATTTTTGGTGGCACAATTTGTTTGGTCCTTGGCATTTGTTTTGTTACGGTACTTTCACGCCCTAACACGAAGGAATTGGCTTGAGTTTTTGTGCAGCACGCAATCAAATTGAAGATGATTTAGCACCAGTGAGCAGCCTAAGTTTACTTCTGTCAATGCAGGCAACAGCTTAACTAAACGAACAGCTTCTCAACCCGAACAGATGGGTAACAACAGAATGTTATCACATTTGCCGTGGAACCTCCAACTCACCGCGCTCCGAGGCTGTGTCATATGCTGGGGTGTCGTTCTTTCGGCTGGGGAGAGGGGCTGAGCCAATAAAGCTGAACCAACCTTCCCTCAAATCCTAATTTCTCTCCGGATTTCGGCCACTTTGATTTGTGTCCCTGATGTCAGCATTAAAATACAAACATATTTAGTCAGCTCCAAAATTCTTCGGATGTTGACGAATAGCTTCCTTTTTGAAGCCGATATTGTAGTGATAATGGTGCTATATGTTGATGATCATGATAGAGATAGTGATGCGGTTTGGACCTGGCGTACCACAATTCAGACACTTGCTGCATTTCATCGTCCCAGTATTCCGTTTTTGCCCATGTGCCTATGGGAGGGGGGGGGGGGGGGGGAGCTCAGAAGAGCATTGGGCCGGCTCAAATCAGCATCGGGGGAAGCGGGTTCAGATCCCCGAAAGTAAGCAAAGTGACAATTTTCTGTGTCGTGTTAAACGAGATATTCCATGTTTTAAACAGAGCATGATGGTCTGTTGATTTCGTTAATGGCCTGCACAAAAGCTGCAGTAAATGAAGCATCCATACCTGGGCGTATTATACATTCAGTTGGTTTTGCTCACAGTTGTGACCCCAAAGCGACATAAATTGCTGCTGTGTTTTATGTAAACTTTGTTGTCATGATATGTTCAAGCAATACCACTAGTTTATTACAATAATGAAAACAACAACAAGATGTTCAAACAATAGCAATTAAACAACAACAATAGCTTATTACATCCGACTTTCCCGCGCTCTTCAAGGGCGCATCTGATGCTCAGGCACGCATTCCCAGGCATGCCTCCTTAATGAAATGTCTTCTGTGTGTCTTCATGTCATAATGTCTTCATACACTCCAGAAATCAGCATCAAATCACCACATCCTCCGACTGCGCGTTGCCAGACGCTCTCCCTGCTCGTGCGTGGTCGTCCTTTCCCAGGGCTGCCGGCGCCGTACTCTGGCGACCGGCGCTATATTTAGCCCAGCGGCCGGCCGGGCTTGGCACCTCTCCCGATAGCGTGCCGGCCGCGTCAGGCGGCACCAAATCCCGATGTAGTTCCGGCCCGGCCATATTTTTTTGGTTTCACCCGCTCGAACATGCGCGCAGCGGGCCTTTGTTAGTGGTGCTGTACGGCTTCGTCATTCCTACAATACGGTGCCGAAATCCCCCCATTCAGTCACGAAAGCGGGGGATTACCGATCGTCGCCGAGCGCGCGCCGCCGGCGTCAGGTCTCCGCCTGCCGGCGGCAGCATTTGGCGGGTTTCCGGAGGTTTTGCAAGGGCTATCAATCGGGGCCCTGAATGTTAAGCGCGGAGTTTGGGCCGGCAACGTGGCATTGCAGCTTCTGCGGCACGTGTCAGGTTATGGGGCCGTGGGGTTAGATGTGGATGAATTTGCAAACCTCGATCTAAGCCCACCCGCCTGCTGACAAGTGCATCAAATGCACGTTCCCTGTTCCACCGGCCGACACCCGCCATCCTCGGGCGTCGGCTTGGCGCGCCGGCCGCTGTTTGGCGCGCCTCCCGGTGTTTGTCGCGCTGGCCAGTGCCGCTGGTTTATGTTTGTCGCTGCGAGTGGCGCGCGGTCTCGGCGACCACTGACGGACGACCATTTAAACCGCGACACCGTCACATCTGCGGCCGTAAAAATCGCCCCTTAAAGACTCGTCCCGACGCTGCGGCCACCTGGGAGGGATAGCGGTCGCCTCGTTTACTTTCGGCGCTGTTTTATGTGCGCCGGCTCGTCGTCCCGCCGGCGGACCGCTCTCCCAGTGGTCGCCGCCCCATCCGACGGCTGGCCCTGCTCCTCTCATCCGCCAGAGATAGCATTCTGAGGGTGACGCGCTCTGATTCACGCGTGCCGACTGGCCGCGAGGCGGTCAGCGGTGGTCCGAAGCGTGGCGACTGACTGCGAGGCGGTCAGCAGCGGTTCGAAGCGTGCCGACTGGCTGCGAGACGGTCAGCGGTGGTTCGAAGCGTGCCGACTGAACTCTCAAATCAGCGAACGCGGGTCGCCGACTGGACACGGTTCGTACACTTTGCCTGACGACTGGACGCCGGGCAGGGTCCGAACGCCGGCCACGTGTGCCGACAGACCGAGCTGAGCATATGAAGACAGCCGAGGGACCTAGCGCCGTCGTCGGGCAGGGGGCGCCGATTTCTTACCCGCTGCCACGGGTTCCCTGCTCAGCAGATCACCGCTCTCCACGGCCGAACCGCCACCGCCGAGCCACCGTTGAGTGGTTCAGTAATTGCCGGGGCTCTCGGTGCCGGTATCATCTAAGGTCATTAGCGTCACAGCCGTTCGCACGGGTCGAACCGGCACCGGTGCACCAGACCGCGCTCTGCCGCGGTCCGCAAGAGGCCTCGACTCGGGTCCGGCGGGTCGACGGGCAGGGGAGTCCCCGGATGATGGTCCGGCGGGTCGGCGGGCAGGGGGAGTTCTCGAACGGTGGTCCGGCGGGTCGGCGGGCAGGGGAGTCCTCGAACGGCGGTCCGGTGGGTCGGCGGGCTGGAGGAGTTCTCTTACGATGGTCCGGCGGGTCGGCGGGCTGGGGGAGCCCTCGAACCGTGGTCTGGCGGGTCGGCGGGCAGGGGAGTCTTCTGACGATGGCGATGGCGGCAACAGAGACCGTCTCACGAGGCTCATGAGAGGCTTCAAACGAAGCTCCGAAACGACGCCTGACGCTCACTGGAAACCGAATGGGTGTGAGGGCGGCGACGCCACTGCATCCGTCAGAGCAGGGAGGCGAGCGGCGGGAGGCGGGACGACGCAGAGAGCGATCAGCGAGCCCGCAGAGCCGATCACCGATGTCGCCACCTCGCCGCGCGCCGGTCGCGGGCGGCTGGTGGCGAGCGCGGCGCGGCGCGGTGCCGGCGCGCCATTGTTCGCCGCAGCGGGCCGGCGCGATCGAGCCGCCCAAATCGTCACGTCCTTCGGTCCGGATTGTTTCCAATGATTGAGCCCTGGCAGGGCACTTAGCTCCATATAGCAGGTCATTTGTCGGACAATGGCGGAAACATTTGGCGCCGCGCACGCCGATTGGCTGGCCGGTGGCGCGCCGCGGCGGCAGTCAGCTGACTGCGGGCCGCCGCCCGCCGCCGCCGCGAGGCGGCGGCCTCGTCCGCGGCCCATGCGGGTGCCGGCGGCCCGCGCGGACGCGGCGTCCATGCCGCATGCGGTTCATGGCGTCCTAGGCCCGTGTGGACCCTGACATCCATGCCTCGTGCAGCATACATCTGGGCCCAAGTGCCTATCACACTCTAATCCACGCCCTGATCTGACCTGGTGATCTAATCTCTGTGAGTTTCGTGATTTAACGCACTCGCGGCACCGTTATTGTTATAAGAATGTGTCGAAATCCGATTCATAAAAAAGATTGCAGGCGTCCTCCTCGTTCGCTAAACGTGCCTTGTTAGCTGGATGGACTCCGCTGTATGATATGTCTAGACTGGGCCACTGGGCTAGCTCGCGAGTGGTTAACCTTTCGGCTCAAATGCTTCCTTCACTGACGTGGCTAGTTGCTTCATTTTCAACCTGGGAATCGTGTGATGTGACCATCCCACACTAAAAAGTAATATTATAGCCATGCAATTAGAAACCAATGTTTTCATAGCTGCTTTTCCATACAGCTTACGTGCGCCCTGCATACCAGTCTGCAAAAAGCACGTCCTGCGCCAGGCAGAGGCCTTAGCGGGCATGGCTCCCACCGATAGGGGCGCACCTGAAGTTATCTCAGGGCACGCGGCGTCAGGGATGCACGCCCCGGTTCGGAGGGACGTCCGAGGTGGCCCCTGTCCGGTGTCCGCGGCCGCCCAAGGCACGCCCCGCTCCAGAGGGACGCCCGAGGTGGCCCCTGTCCGGCGTCCGCGGCCGCCCAAGGCACGTCCCGCTCCAGAGGGACGTCCGAGGTGGTCCCTGTCCGGCGTCCGCGGCCGCCCAAAGCACGTCCCGCTCCAGAGGGACGTCCGAGGTGGCCCCTGTCCGGCGTCCGTGGCCGCCCAAGGCTGGCGCCGCTTCAGAGGGACGCCCGAGGTGGCCCCTGTCCGGCGTCCGCGGCCGCCCAAGGCACGTCCCGCTCCAGAGGGACGTCCGGGGTGGCCCCTGTCCGGCGTCCGCGGCCGCCCAAGGCTGGCGCCGCTTCAGAGGGACGCCCGAGGTGGCCCCTGTCCGGCGTCCGCGGCCGCCCAAGGCACGTCCCGCTCCAGAGGGACGTCCGGGGTGGCCCCTGTCCGGCGTCCGCGGCCGCCCAAGGCTGGCGCCGCTTCAGAGGGACGCCCGAGGTGGCCCCTGTCCGGCGTCCGCGGCCGCCCAAGGCACGTCCCGCTCCAGAGGGACGTCCGGGGTGGCCCCTGTCCGGCGTCCGCGGCCGCCCAAGGCTGGCGCCGCTTCAGAGGGACCCCCGAGGTGGCCCCTGTCCGGCGTCCGTGGCCGCCCAAGGCTGGCGCCGCTTCAGAGGGACGCCCGAGGTGGCCCCTGTCCGGCGTCCGCGGCCGCCCAAGGCACGTCCCGCTCCAGAGGGACGTCCGAGGTGGCCCCTGTCCGGCGTCCGCGGCCGCCCAAGGCTGGCGCCGCTTCAGAGGGACGTCCGAGGTGGCCCCTGTCCGGCGTCCGTGGCCGCCCAAGGCTGGCGCCGCTTCAGAGGGACGCCCGAGGTGGCCCCTGTCCGGCGTCCGCGGCCGCCCAAGGCTGGCGCCGCTTCAGAGGGACGCCCGAGGTGGCCCCTGTCCGGCGTCCGTGGCCGCCCAAGGCTGGCGCCGCTTCAGAGGGACGCCCGAGGTGGCCCCTGTCCGGCGTCCGCGGCCGCCCAAGGCTGGCGCCGCTTCAGAGGGACGTCCGAGGTGGTCCCTGTCCGGCGTCCGCGGCCGCCCAAGGCTGGCGCCGCTTCAGAGGGACGCCCGAGGTGGCCCCTGTCCGGCGTCCGCGGCCGCCCAAGGCTGGCGCCGCTTCAGAGGGACGCCCGAGGTGGCCCCTGTCCGGCGTCCGCGGCCGCCCAAGGCTGGCGCCGCTTCAGAGGGACGTCCGAGGTGGCCCCTGTCCGGCGTCTGCGGCCGCCCAAGGCTGGCGCCGCTTCAGAGGGACGCCCGAGGTGGCCCCTGTCCGGCGTCCGCAGCCGCCCAAGGCTGGCGCCGCTTCAGAGGGACGTCCGAGGTGGCCCCTGTCCGGCGTCCGCGGCCGCCCAAGGCTGGCGCCGCTTCAGAGGGACGTCCGGGGTGGCCCCTGTCCGGCGTCCGCGGCCGCCCAAGGCTGGCGCCGCTGGCCCGACTGATGTCCCGTCCTCGGGACGCTGCCGGCCTTTTCAGTCCCAATCTCCTATAGCTAACCGATTACGCTCGTCCCTAGCACCAAACATGAAAAATGCCGCCAAACCCTTTTGTTATGGTAGAAATAAACCGTATTTCATTTGTGCGGTGCCGCGTGCTCCGCCGCCCGTGAAATTGGGCAAAATCACAACCGACGTGGCACAACTCCGACCTAATCTGTTTCGAAAGCCATAAAAATACTAACTCAGCTGGCGGCGCCGTGATCTATCAAGCGAAAGAGAAAAATATGTACTTTATAGACAACAGGAGGCCATATTTTCCGGCCGATGCCCGGCCAATATCAGAATCGGCCGGCCAAATTGGCGGCGGGCCCGGCTCGGCGCGTGGGGACAGCGTCCGCTACAATGAAGATTCAATATCAATTTAAATGAAATACGGGCCTGCATGAATATAAATGGAGTGTTATAAGAATGGCGGAAGTGATCTTGAGCCGGCTGTATCTGGTCCGACCAGATAATGCGGCCCATACTTTGCACACCGAGCTCATCGTGTAAGTGGAGGCTGCGAAACGATGTGCGATGCGCGGCCGTCTCGACCGGCCGCTGCGCGGTCTGGCAATGGTTCGGGAACGATGGCCAGAACACCGAGGAAAATTTCTGAGAGCGCTTTCTGCGGGAGGTCTGAAGGACTTGAGAGGAGGGAGGGAGGGGGGGGGGGACTGAAGCCAGTGGGGCCTGTTGCTGTCTAAAATAGTGAAAAATCGAGAGGGGATGAGGTGTCTTAGACGGCTAATGACCAATATGCCATCGCTAGGCGGTGAGGTAGCAGAAATTTCTCATCTTTTTGCTTGGCTTTAAAAGAGGCAGCACTCAAAACTCGGTCAGCTCCGGTGTTTTGTGCCACTCCGCTTCGGCCTTGGAATTGGGTATTTGGGATTCGACCACCCCACATATGATCGCCAATGTTTTTAAGTGGAGTTCAGAACAAAATAGTAGGCTTGAACGGGTGGAAGCCTCCGTGGCAAAAAATAAGAAACCCTTTCAGCTGCTGAGTACAGGGTTGCATAAAGTTCATCGTGTGTGCCTCATGGGCGAGGCTAGAACATTATTTCCAAGGAGTAATTGGGTGCTTCCGACGAATTTTCGTATAGTTAACTCCTCGCTAATGAGGCGAAGCATACACCGGAGCCGGATATGGTAGATAGATAGCTTCCCGAAGAGATACATAGCTTCACCCAGGCCATGACTAAGATAATGTTGTTATTTTCAGTGGCAAATTCCCTGCGAGATACGTATTATGGTTGAACCCCGTTATTTTTAGTCACATTCAAAATGAGCGTTTTCGGAGATTGAGAATAATTTCAAATCATGCATTCGGAAGAAAACGAAATGGAAGCATATTTCGTGGATCGTTAGGGATGTGTAGCGTTCAATTCCCATTGGTGTAAGGCTTCAGCGGTACCAACAGATGTCGTTTGTTCCAGATAAGTCCAAAGAGGGTGGCGCACGACCTCAGACCCACGGAGCACCACCAGCCAGCTCGCCCATGTCCGGTGAGTGTCCACCCTCTCGCCTTTCTCACCTCTCTCTCACCCATCTTACATTAACCCGCCAGGGAGCCGCAGATGGTGGCTAGGTGTACACCGAGCAAACGTGAGTGGGCTCACGAATTACAATTAATAATTATATTATTAGCAATGTGAATGAACCCGTTTCGCGGGCAGGTTTCGTCTTATTAATAGCGTAAGACTCCATAGCTGCAGGAGCAGCGAGCAGCCGGTCCAGTGCACGTACAGTGCAGACGTATTTCAGAATACGTAGGTTCTTGGCCTGTCGACACGATAAACAGCAGCACCACCATTCTTCAGCGCTGCACTCGTCTGGCACCACCTCTTGTGCCTGTCTTGAATCCTTGCAGCTTTGCCTTACTGCAGTTGCAGTTTGAATCATGTCACGATCGATGCCGCAGGCTCCCACGTGCTTTGAGTCAGGCCAGTTATCTGAAAGCCTCGCCATGAACGAGCACCTCGTCCAGTCATTCGGCTCGGTGGCGATTACACGTCAGTGTTGACTGGGATTCGAGGGCGGGCTGATGACGCAGCCCAGGCTGAAGGCGTCTCAAGCCCCGCACGTTCCACGGAATCACGCCTTTGAATGGGCTGGGCCAGCCGAGTGACGTCACTGGCTACAGCTGGGTCATCCCAATGACGTCACCGTCCAGAGCTGGAGGCGCTGGGTGTCGCGTCTGGTTCGGTCAGGCTTCAGCCGGTGACACCAGCATCCAGCAGGGCGGGGGGGGGGGGGGGGGGCAGCTCCATCTCGCACATCCTCCGGGCAGGGCCGCCGAGTGTCGCGCGCCAGCAGCGCCAGAGCCAGCAGCCGTCCGCTGTCTGGGATCGCTTCTCTATCGCGAAGAAGCCGTACGGGCATAGCCCGTCGGACGCGGCTGGGCTGGGACGGGCGCGGCTCGGCTGACCTTCGCCCTGACCTTGGCTCGAGAGTGGGAGCCGTGGTCAGCCCGCAGTGCCGCGGCCGTCGCCGGACGCCCGGCGGGAGAGCGGGCCGCGCCGCCGCCGTCGGTCGAGGCGCGCACCACCGCGGGAGAGCGGGCCGCGCCGCCGCCGTCGGTCGAGGCGCGCACCACCACGGGAGCGCCGGCCGCGCCGCCCTCGCCGGCCGCGTCGTCGCCGTCAGGCCGATCAGCTGACTGCCGGCACCTGGTGAAGGCGCGGGCGGCGGTTACGCGGTCTTCTTATAGGTGCTGGAGTTCTTCGGAGAGGTCTTTAGGACGCGTTTGGTTCGCAGAGGTGGAAGCGGGGATATCAATTTAAACGCCTTGCTCTCGCCAGCCGGCGGTATCGTTTTGTGAGCGCTGCCAGAACGGCGTGAGCAAGGTGGGGAACGTCAGAAGTTGAAAACTTCGATTCGGCTTCTGCGTCGAATTCGCGACTGGATTGAAATTCACAATTAGGCTCTGCGTATCGGGCCGAAATGGCTGTAACCAAGAGTGCTGACGTGACCTCGTTATCAGATCTATCGGGAAGATTTAGGTCGATTGGGAGCGCGTTGCAGAACAAGCTCCCCGGTTTTACTACGCCCCGCTCGGTGGGTCTGGTGCAGTGGACATTGCAACTCAGTTATTTTGCCTCATATTGTGCCCGGGTCACGTTCTTCACTGCAACTTAGCTTGATGACACAATCATTTTTCGAAAGACTCGACCAGAAAATGGTCGCTGTGAGTTGCCTAAGTTTTGCACACAGTGTAGGGGAACGCGCCAATAATTTGGCGCGGGTCGTTCTGACTTGGGCATCCTAAACCAATGCCACAACTTTGGATTTGATGACGCTCACAGATCACGTATTTGGTAACGATGAGGGAATTTATTGCAATTTGTTAGAGACCACATTCAGCAGTTCTGATCAAAAGCTTATGCAATTTCTGCTCTCAAGTTAAAATCATGCCTTCAGCAAAGCATTGATCGCAACGCTCTAAAGCCCGTCACATTTCAACTTGAATGTGGCTGCCGTAAATAAACGATTGGGTAGGACAAGGACGTACACATTTTGCTGATGTTCGCGCACCCGAAGCACGTGCCGACACCCAACACCACCCCAGTGAATCCCCCCTGAAAGACCGTTTCTTCTCCATTTCAGATCCACGCGGCGTGTTCTACGGCGCGTCACCCATGTTCTCCTCGGCGACATAGATCAGACTTCAGTGACCCGCCGCGCCGCTGCCGAAGCCGGGCCGGGCCGGGCCGGAGTCGCCCCGCATTGCCCGTGACCTCTGCGCCCGCGCCGTGACCTTGCCACGGGGTCACGACCCAGAACCGACCCGGCGCCCGCGGGCACGGACCGCCGCCGCCGGGCCGCGGCGCACAGCACTGTATCTTAACTCTAGTCTTAATGACAATGTCACAGGGAGCCCATGGACCCACCCACTTCCCATCTTCGCCACAGCACTACTGGAGGACGCCGCCAGCGGACGGCCGCCGTGTAAATACCAGCGCCCCAGGTGACGAGGTCAGGGGTCGACAGCCGCCGCGCGGTGGGAATGTTATTCAACGTACTTAGCCTCTACGAGCGTGGTTACGTGTTAGTCAAGTGTGGGTGTTTCTCTTCTTATGTGTTCGTATGGCCTATGTAGGTGTGTGCACACGTTTAGTATTGATCTCATACTTTGTAAATACGGCCAGCCACCCGAGCCTTGAGTACCGGCGGTCGCATTGGGCTCCGGAGCTCCGACACTGCTCCTCATCGAATGCATTTGCAATACACACGATTGAACATACTGAGCACCAAAATGCACCAAAACGGTCTCACCGACGACCCCATGCGTTACTGTCATGTGTGCAAACGCCCACACTCATAGGCAAGGCCAATAAAGGCGCAAAGTCGCCTTTTGATTTCGTGTCCGTCGGCACCTGACCTTCGTTTACGGGGCTGTTCGCCCCTTTTGCTGTTCACCCCGGCCACGTGCCTATGCCACATTCACCCATCGATGTGAACTTCTTCCCGATGAGACACACAAACACAAGCGTTTGCTACTTCGCACAAGTGGACAAAGGTGTAACAATCCCGTGATTCAGCTGTACCACCATGTAGACTGTTGGCGCACCGACGATGTATGATCCGGCGCATATTGGAGCTATGGTGCAGTTAATTTCGAGACTACGCTTCTGGCGATCCGGACCGATTGCGTGCCGCGGTGTGATGTCGCCATGACAACATGGCAGGGTCATGAAAGGAGGGACGGTGTGTCTTGAGGTTGCGTTCGACCAGCGCGAGATAGTGTCACGAGACATTGCGAGGGTGCGTTCGTCCAGCACGAGATGACGTCACGTGACATTTCGATGCCGGCTGAAGTGCACTGCCGTCTATATTCTGCCGACGGCACACTCGCAACTATTGCGTTTTGTCAGGCCTTTCGTCGATATGGCAGAAAATACCCTGCAGACTGCGGTGTGGCACACCGTGCATCCCCCTATGAGGCTGCAACAGAGCAGGGTTGTCATGAGAGTGCGCCAGGCTCAACCCGGCGTCCGTACGCGGCGGCGGGAGGTCTGTGCCCCCACCCCCTGCGATCTGGTCGACCCCCGGAGCTCTCGGCACCGGCTACCTGTCCAATGGCCGGACTCCGTGGCCACTGACGGGCATTGTTGGTCCGTGGCGGGGTCACCCGTGCGCACCGCGTCACGGCGGCGGCTGGGCCCGCCGTGACGCGCCGGAGTTGTCCGTGACGACCCTGCGCGGTGGCGCGTGCGAGCGTGCGTGCATGCGTGCGTGTTTGCGTGTGTTTGTGTGTGTGTCTGTGTGTGTGCACACAGGCACCGTGCGCAGATGTGGTGTGGAACACTGTCCCTGACGTCACCAACGGAACACTCGCATCAGCTCTCACGTCTCGTATATCCTCAACGGCGGCCATCCCCGTGTGTCAACGATGGTAACAACGCGCCGCTGCATGGCGAACTAAGGCGCGTCACTCATACGGCAGGGTTCCTACGCCGTTTCCGCTGCCGTCAGACTCCCGGAAGGAGCACTGTGCTCGTGTGCCCCCTCCCCCCCCCCCGCATGACGACGGTCAGTGCCGACAGTGGGCTTGCACAGCCAGGAGGCCCCAGCGGCCGTCGTGTAACATGTGCTTACTGTACAAAGTTTTCGTTCACTTGTTTCAGGGATGTTGTACACTTGTCTGTGCCAAAGTAACGGTTTCGTAGATATGTATATGTAATAGATGTTACGGAAGTACTGTGTAAATACATTTTGGCCCGTTCACGGTCGCGTTTGGCGTGCTGCTCTGCTAAAGCCAACGCGGCCACGGAGCGCCGAGGGTGCTGGACGGACCAGTAATGAAGCTCGACAGTGAGAACGAGAAGCATGACGTATTCAGGTCCGACTAGCTGTCTGGATGACCACAACATCGCCTTGGGTGCTAGAAGTCACGAAAGTTTTTTTCAGTTGGGAGTTGAAACTCGGATGGAAATGTCACCAGCTCGCACGTTGCTGAAGCTGAATATTTCACTTCACAGAAACCACGAGCCAGCAAGGAAAGCTTTTCAATTGCTTTGGACCCTAATATGTGCATTTAAGGAATCGAAAATACACGGTATAGCTAGCAGGCTTTGCGACACGGCGTACCGTCTTAAACCAGCACCTATAACTCAGTAGTATACAATTACTTATCTCTAACAGGAAATTATGATACAATTAATTATCATTAATATATATGTATATATATATATATATATATATATATATATATATATATATCCCTTTCTCTCTCTCTTCTCTCTCTCTCTCTCTCCTCTCCTCTCTCTCTCTCTCTCTCTCTCTCTCTCTCTCTCTCTCTCTCTCTCTCTCTCTCTCTCTCTCTCTCTCTCTCTCTCTCTCTCTCTCTCTCTCTCTCTCTCTCTCTCTCTCTCATTAATTATGATTCTTCGGGGCCAATGGATGCCGCACACGTCTGGCTGGGTGCGATGGAGGTGGTACAGTGTCGGTGGTAAAGGCGCGGAGAAGCGACTCAGTGCCGTCACACAGTGCTTTCATGTGTTCCCGTGCGGTCACGTACACTCCAAAAACATACCACCGCGTCCTAGTCAGAAGGACGCTGACTTGACATCCAACGGGTCGCCGACTGGGCCACATGACATCCGCCATGGCCTCTCCTCACTCACTGACTGGGTTACCGCGGCTGCATGCTCGCACACCTCAGACTCGGCAGGCTGACACCGGCCGGGGTCCGGTCGACCACCGGCCAGCCGCTGGCAGCCGCTCATTCTGCTGAAGCCGCACGGCCTCTCGTGCCCAGCGTTGAGCCGCCCGCCGCGGCGGGCGCTGGTGTTACTCGGCCTCCCAAGCGTTGGCTCGGCGCCCGGTCAAGCCGGCCGGGGTGGCCGGCGCCCCTGACTGCGCGAGGCGAGGCGAGCGCTGACAAACCGGGGCCCGGTTCACACCTCGCCGTGCCGGTCCAAACATTTGTAACCTCGCGGCGGGGGAGGCGACCTGGCGCCGACTGCCGGGCCTCTCATTAATTATGAAAATGCGGCCGGCTTCGATCCGCCGGGCGGCGCGGGCGGCTGGGCCGAGAGCCGTGCACAAAGTCGCGCCGCGCCTCGCAGCCGCGAATCGGCGTTCGATGGCCGAAGGAGCGACAGCCGCTCAGATGAAGAATTAAACGGCGCTGGCATTTAATGACTGTTGTCGGCGCGCGATGCGGATCCATTAAGCATGCCAATGTACTTTTTAATTTTATTTACACGCCGCTGAGTCGAAAACAATGCGGGATGGTGTGACCGCACCGCCGACACTCGCAAACCACCGGCGAGAGGCCGACGTCTGCACGGCGAGAGACGGCCGCCGCCAGCGAGCGCAAGGCGCCAGGGCACGCGGAGGAAGCGGTGGAGTCAGTGAGGTGAAGGTCGCGAGGATGTGATGGAGACGTGGCGGGTCAGCACATGGAGGTGGGGAGGTTGTGAATGGGACGTGGTGAGGCGCTGGGAGGAAGGCTGTGGGGTAGCGAAAAGCATGCTTTGGGGTAGTACTCGAAATACGCGGCGTAATAGTACGATGCAGGTGGTAGCTGGCCACCTCTCCGAAGACCCACAGCAGCCCTAGGAGCTAATAGATGGAAAGAAGCACCCGGTGCCGTCCCGTGACTACCTGGAAGTTCCAGGAGCCATCCAAGATAGCCACGAAACGGGCGGCAGCTCCGAGATGACAAATATCAGCCTCTCTCCCGAGATGGCCAGGAATCCCCAACAGGTCGGGAACAATCCCGGGTTTCTCACACGATTGTACGATCGCTGGGCAGTAGAGGCAGTCAGAAAACATCAAGCAAGCGTGCGTGTAGGCATATGTAAGCCATCCGTACCATGTTCAGTGGGAGTCCCCAGCGACGCTTTCTCACTGGCTTAGCATGTAGTGTTGCCGCCGAAGTAACGCAGAAGAACCAACGCAGAAGCGGCAATATTTAAAACGTTTGGGAGTTCTTGGGCTTAAAATTGCCTTTTGAATCAGAACTGTCTTCGTCTTCCAGAAAGATGTGCTGAGCGGAGGTGTGTTCAAGATCTCGCCATTGTGACATGATATCTCATTGTTCATAGAATTAACGTGAGCGCTGAACGTGCGTGAGACTTCTGGCATACCGAAAACCAACATTACACCACACATTTTTGTTGTACAGTAACTTCTACCCGATTACCGCCGACTTTTGTTTTGTTAATATATATCCCGCCGTTGAATACGCTCCTGACCACAACGACGTTTGTCTGGTTGTCTTTGCACTAGTGCAACCACTTCTTTTAAGCATTGAGGTACCGAAAATAATTTTTGATCTCCGTACCTCGACAGCACCATCATTTTCTAATGGTTCATTGGCTTCATTACGTTGTGTATATATATATATATATATATATATATATATATATATATATATATATATATATACATCACATGCATATAAATATGCATCACAAAAACATGACAACAATTTCTGAAACATCTGACTTTATCCAAGGACAGTGCTACTTCAGGATATGAGGGTAATTACAGCAATTTCAAAATATGACAGAAGCTATACCTGTATCGTTCCGGAAAAGCCAGCCGGACAAAGTGTCGTATGGCGGTAATAGTTTCGTTGTTCTGTTTCTGTTCAGCTAAAAAGATGTGTTTCGAAATCAAATTTTGTCTGGTTCCGGGAAAAATAAGTGTAATTTTTTTTTGATGCGTCCGCTCTCCTTAACACGACTCCATTAAACCACATAGAAGCTCAGGCGACCAGAGAGCATGGATCCGTCGGGTTTCGTATATGGCCTGCCAGGTGGCAACGATTCATTAGGTGCCCGCAAATGCCGAGATCGGCTTGGAGCTCTTTGTAGGATATGCCCCTTAGAAATTCACCTATAGAGTTTGAAGAGGTCCAAAAAGCCTTAGTGATTCTGGGAGCGGGAGTCGTCGCGGACAGCCACGACGTTGCGGAGCCAGACGTTACTGGCCCTGTTTCGGGCATATAGCATTTTGAGTATTTGTCCAAGCACGATAGATCTGGCAAGCGGTGACCTGGGGTCAGGTGGCTACAGATATTTTAATATTCTTGAGGAAAGGATAGCTGCGTAGGCGGCTGCGTCCAGGACATTAAAGTAATAGTTTTGCTGCGGTACGGTGCGGGATAGCAGACCTGACCAGAAACAAGCCGAAATTACAGGAGACAGTGATGACAAAATAACACTTAGTCACACGATACTTTATTCAAATACGCACTAGTGCCCAAATGACTGCTATCAACGAAATAACTACCAGTCTGAATCCACGTGAATTGCGCCCTTCTTGCGCAGCTCCGGCTTGACTTGGGTTCTATTTGGGCGCGCCGACTGCTGCGATCACATTATCGGAGCTCAGGAAGCCACCAGCCCCGTTCTCAACATCATCCGCTGTTCTAAGCGCGTCTAGCGAACTCGAGCGCCCAGACTCCACCGTGTTTAGATCTGGAGCACGTATCGGAGAGAAACACGTCATAATTAAGAGTGCATCAATTACTGTAAGGAATAAAGGTCTTGAGCTCCTGCTTAGGTCAACATTATAAGTAAATGTTCTCATGCGAACGATAGTGACCCTTTAGGATGTCAGAAGGTACTGGCTACACTTGGATATCAGGCGTTGGTTATATTGTCAAAATCGGTGTCTTAGGCTATGCTCACAGTTATGGATGTCCATGGGCAAAGCTTGGTCACAAGTATAAAGACGGCAGCAGTCGATGCGCCCTAAAACCCCAAATCATCATCATCACCACAAGTATAAAGACGCTCCATGCTGTGCTCGTGGCTAGTTATGATTAAGCTGTGCTCATGGTCACTCACGATTATAAGTACAGCTTTAAACGTCGGATTTTGAAAATGCAACCGATGTTTGTAAGTTGTTAAGTGCATTTGCGAGGAACGTTATGCATATGAACGAGACAGCATTGATAGCCTTTTTCCTCCCAGAACAGACAGGGGGATGGAGAGATAGATGTATGTGAAAAACAGGTGCACGTGAAATTTAAATGATATACACCTATCTCTCCATTTTCTTGTTTATTCTACGAGGAACAGGACTATAAATAATGCTTCATCTGTGACCAATGTATGCTTGAAACTGGCGTGCAGCTAGCCCCTCCGGGTATGCTGAAGGTCGAATATTATCAGGATAAAAACTCCACTCATAAAGCGTGGATTATGTAGTCTTCATGTGGTCCCGTTTCCACATTCGTGCAGGCTAAGAGCCCATGTTAAGATTGATTATTTCACATCCAATATTCGCCATATTTCTATTGTGTATTACAACTGACGAAATTGCTGACTATCTGATCATTGGTTTATGTGTGTATGGAAATGAGTAGAGTCAGCTTTTTTAAAGAAGCTTAGATAGGACGCCCCCAGAAAACGGATCTAAACGGATCTAAACGGATGAAAGAAGCGGATCTAACATTGACTCTTGGGAAGCGATCTTTAAACAGCGCACAGTTTGCGCCAGAAACAAACCCAAAGAGAAAATGTTTCCATCTTCATTTCGTCTTTGAGGACCGTGCAAACCCGCCATCACCCACACTTTGATCCGCGAATGTTAACCGAATTCATTTCAGCAAAGTGCAGCCGTCTCCGTGCCACAAACACTGTGGCGTTTCG